TGCCAGCCCCACCCCAGGTCACCCTGAGACAGGGAACAAGACTGGGTATGGTTGTTCACGCCTGTAATCCCAGCACTTGGGAGGGTAAACAGGAGAATCACTATAAATCCGATCTAGTAGAGGCCCTGAAAAGCCTGTAAACTCTTCCCTAAAAAAACCTGTCACTTGCCAAGGTCAGCATGAAGGTGGTGTGAACTCTTACCTCACCTGCAAACTTGCTTCCAATGGACTCACGTGGCACATGGCCGAGGACTGCTTTCCACAGCACCCTCCTGCTAAGAACCTTGTCTTTCTGGACTGCCAGTTCAGAACTATTTTTCATGGGCAGAGGCTAGACACGTTCAGGGTTGGTGTCAAGGAGTGTCAATGGCAAAAAGCCAGCCCAAGCCATGGCTACAAAGCCAGCACCCATGACTGCAAAGGCAGCTTTCCTCAAATGCACCTTTTGATGGTTGTGTCAACTTGAACAAAAACACCCAACTGGCCGGATCAGCCTAGTACTAGTTGTGAACAAATGGACTTACTGAAGACAGAAGAGGCACCCCTAGGTGTGAGTGGCACCAACCAATAGGCTTACAACTTGAATGGAACGCAAAGGAGGAGGTCTCCTTCAGTTTCTTCGGAGGAGCTCATCTTCAGCACCTTGGGCCTCTGTGTCTGGGCTTCCAGTTCTTAAAATCTATTACTCTAGTGAGGCCCAATACTTTCAGAGCTGGGTGCTTCATCACCCATGACTGTTTCCAGGCCAACCATTTCAGTTTTGTTCTCCTTAGAACACAGGAGATTTGAGATCACCTTGTCTATTTTATTCACCATTACACACCCTACCTCTGGAACAGTATTTGGCACCCAATAGGTACTTGAGCAATATATGCTGAAATTTATTAAGTGCTGTCCAAGAACCTGATAGCATGTGTGTGTGCGCGCGACGTTTGTCTTGTGTCTCAGGGGGACAATGAATACAAATGTTATGGTACTAACAGAGACATTCCTCTTCTTTTTCTTCTTCTTTGAAACAAACTATCACTTTGTAGTGCAGGTTGCCCTAGAACTCAAGCCCATCATCCTGCAAGAAAATGAAGCTCTGAGAAGAGACACCAAGTGCCCACAGGCAATGGAGTTGCCAGAGTGGACACCAGGACTGGCTGACCACAGTACCCACACATCTCAGCTGCTATGCCCCTCAGCTCCCAGTGTAGCAGGCAAGACATCTCCACTTGTCTACCTGCAATAACACTGCATTATTTAGTGACAATGGCAATCTCTTTCTTCCCTCTCCTTCACACCATACAGGGAGGAAGGCTGCACTAGGTGGTGTGTATCTTCGTCACTTCTAACATTAACATTTCCTCTTTAATGTAAAGTAAATGAGGGGCAGTCGAGATAGTTCAGCAGAATAAAGCACCTGCTTAGGCAAGCTTAGGCAGGAACTGCGGTTCGATTCCCAGCACATGCCACACCGGCTGCACCCCCAAGGCGGGCTAAACCAGCCAGAATCCAGGAGTAGTGGCACATGCCTATAATCCCAGCACTAGGGAGGCTGCAAGCAGGAATATCACCATGAGTCCGAGCTGCTTTAATAAGACCATGAGTCTGAGCTGCAACAACTAAACACATTTTTAAAAAAGAAAAAAAAAAGTAAAACAGAAATACAAGTGGGCTTCAAACCTTTGTAGGGGGCCGGAGAGATGGCTCAGTAGAATAAGCACTTCCCTGGCAAGCACAAGGGCCTGAGTTCGGCCGGGAGATGGCTCCGTAGAATAAGTGCTTGCCTGACAAGTGCAAGGGCCCGAGTTCAATTCCCGGTTCCGCCAAAAAAAAAAAAAAAAAAAAAAACCTTGGTAGGAACTAACACCCAGACAGAATGTGATTTTCCCTGCCTGCCAAGCACAAGGTCCTGAGTTCGATCCCTGGTATCACCAAAAAAAGAGAATGTGATTTTCCCTTAAAGGGGCATCTTTATGCAGTACTCAATCTACTTAACAGCACCAGGTAGCCCTAGGTTTCTATTTCCTGCCCTGAATACCAGTTGAGGACAAAACATAAGATTGCCAAAGCAGTAAATATGGATGAGACTGAACAGTACTACTACAATTATGCATTTTCCCAAGGCTGTAAATCTCAAAGTATCAATAGGTCCAAAATCCCAGGATGTGCTGATATAGAGGGAAGGGAACCATAAGATCAAAAAATGAAACACACAAATGATTGTGAAAAACCACACCTCAAAAAACACTTTAATTCCAGCCTAACAGCACCAGGTGCAATGTCTGGGGACAGACTCTGGGTACAATGCTGTGTGGCGACCACGCATTCACACACGGCTCCAAGAAGGCCCCCAAAGGGGGACTTACCTTTGGGGATTGAGCCAAAGAGGGGAGGGGCGGCCCCAGAACAGGGGCAGGGGCAGGCCTGGGGAAAAGGTGCTACTTCTTGGCAAAGGAGATCTTCATAGCATTGTTCTGGGTGATCTTAAAGCCCTGCAGGGCATCTCGAGCGGCCCCGGCCTGCACTTCGTTGTCAAACTCCACGAAGGCGATATCATGCCGCCCGGGCACCAGGCGGACCTCCTTGAAGCCAGGGAACCTGAAGAAGGAACCACAGACCTCAGGGACCCCATGCAGCAGGCATTCCTATATTTTGGCACCCAACAGGGATGACGCTCAACTCAATACACATGTAGGCCCTCATGAGAGATTACCCCACCCAAAATACAAAACTGAAACTCTAATGGAAAAATCAGACACCTCACACAGCCAAAATCTAGATCATGACAAAAACCCTATCCTTCCATCACAGCTCACCTCTGAATCCAGGAGCAAGAGCCATGTTCATTTTTATTATTGCTGCTACTGCCTAAGGCTTTTGAAACAGTCCCACTGCGTAGCCCCAACTGAGTTTGCACTCGTGATCCTCCCGCCTCGACCACCAGAGTGCTCAGATGACAGTGTGTCACCATACCTGTCTCACTGCACCCACTTTCATGACATGCTGCTTAATTTGCTTCTTCTCATTCCTTACTGCCTTTCCATCAAGTTACCCTCAAGTTTACTGGACACCATTTCCCACTATTATTTTAATAAAATATGCATTGTTTTGTGGGCATGTTACACAACAAACTTTTTCTAGTTTATTCAAAATTTTTGCACAAGGGCCTGAGTTCAATCCCCAGTTCCACACCAAAAAAAAAAAAAAAAAATCTCTCAAATCAGGCATGGTGGCACATGCCTATAATCACAGCACTAAGGAGGTTAAAGCAAGAGGATCACTTCAAGGCCCGCCTGCACTACTTGCTTTTTTCTTTTTTCAAAAAAAGGAAAAAAAAAAAAAAAAACAACCCTCTCAGTGATCTAAAGAACCATGCAGCAGCACATGGTGCCACACGCCCGTGATCCCAGCGCTAGGGGAGTTCAGGCAGGAAATTCACTTCTACTTCAGGGACAGTCTAGTCTGGTCAGTTCAATGTCAGCATGGACTATACAGACCAACTCTGTCTCAGGACAAAAAAAAAAAAAACCTCCTGTAGGATATATGATCAGAAGTACGATGACTAGGTGAACTCGCCCAGACCCATACCTTCCACTTTCCTCTCTCTATACATGGCTGCACCTATGTCCCATGAGCAGAGCACAAGAGTTTCTGTAGCATCACCTCCCACACGTAACACCGAACATGCTGATTTTTGCCCGTCTAGTCAGTGTTCAGTATCATTTTTACATACACCAAGTTCTGCATTTTCCCCCTTTTTTGTTTCTTTTTTTGAGACTGGACCTCATGATCTGATCCTAGCTCATGTTGCTCCATTGGAGACAGGAAAAGAGGCTCAGAGCCTGTACCCACCAGCCCCCCCAACAAAGGCCACAGGCCAGTATGTCCAAACCACATACCCCACAGGCAGGGGCGCAGCCACAACTTCCTCCCTCTCCTTCCTTTCACACCTTCAGTCATTGTCCTCCTGGAGCCTGAGCTAGCTCCAGGCTTACCCCCACAGAATTCCCATGGGGACATGTTCTGGACGCCACTCTCCAATACTATCCAAGCCACAGCCCCTACTTACTGGTTGAAAAGCATAGACAGCATGAGCTCGTTGGTCTCTTCTGGCAGGTTGGTCAGGAACAGGATGTGATTTGGTGGATTCTCCGAGAGCTGCCAGGAAAGGAGGGCAGCCCGTGAGCACGCAAGCACACGCCTAGTGGATCTAGGAGATCCTAGAGCTGCCCCCTGCTCAACTTCCCTCCCTTGGCTCAGACTTCTAGCACTTCCACCAGCTGCACATGGAATGCCCTCATAGACTGCAGGCCACAGAGCTAGACATCTTTCATTCTGGCTACTGCAAAGAATGCAAAGCAGAGCCTGCTACACAAGAATGTGCTCACTAAAGAATAAATCTACACCCTGGCCATGGCTCGCACCTCCCCTCAACCTCTCTGCCCAGACCCAACTCAACCACTATGTGCTCACCTCTCAGGACACTCTGTTCCAGTACCACCTTCTCAAAGGACTGCCCAGAAGCCCAACCTAGAAGAGCCCCTCATCCACCCGCTTTTTTGGTTGGGGGTGCATCTTTTTCAGACAGTCTTCCTATGTAGTTAAGGGTGGCCTTGAGCTCACTTTGTAGCCCAGGCTGACCTAGAACACAGCCAATCTTCCTACCTCAGTTTCCCAAGTACTGGGATTACAGGTGTGTACCACCACACCTGGCTCACACATCATCCTTTTCTAATCTCATTTACAGAAGTCCCTGAGGGGACTAGATACTTACAGGCTGGGCAGGTGGCATCTGCCCTGGCATAAGCTGCTGTGGGGGCATGGCCCCAGGAGGAATCTGGCCGGGTGCAAGGCCTGGAGGTGGGATCATGCCAGGAGGTGGCATGTAGGGTGGCTGGCCCGGCATGTGATGCATGATGCGGGGAGCCTGAGTCATGGGTGGCATGCCCTGTGGAGAGAGAGGACAAGACTGACACATGGCAGGCAGGAAGAAGTGAGACTCTGGTCTCAAGAGGCAGAGGAACAAAGCCCACGAAAGAAAACCCAAGAGATGAGAGGCAGATGATTAAAGAGCTAGACTTGAAGAGGCAAGAAAAAACATGCAAGAGTGCCAGGTGGAGCAAAACAGACCTAGGTTCAAGGGGCACACACCCATAAGCCCAGCAATCAGAGGCTAAGGAAGGAAGGGTGTAAGTTCAAACCTCACCTGGGCAACTTAACAAGACCTCTCAAAAAATAGAAAGCCCTGAGTTCAAGTCCCAGTATCATCCTCCCAGAAAAGAAAGTAAAAATTAAAAACAGTTAAGATATAAAAATTATAGTGTGTTCCAACTTTTAGATATGAGCAAACAAAAAACAACATCAAAGCTACTAAGGCACATATTCTTTTGCTTCTAAAAAAGCAAAGGCAAGTCAGGTTGAATAATGCATGTTTGTAATCCAAACTAGGGACATATGGAATTCAAGGCCAGGCTGAACTGTATAATAAAATCCTGTCTAAAACAAACAAACAAACAAAAAAAATAAATAAAAGAAAAAATAAAAGAAAAAAAAAACGGGGCTGGGGAGATGGCTCAGTGGAATGAGCGCTTCCTTGGCAAGTGCAAGGGCCTGAGTTCAATCCCCAGTTCCGCAAAATAAATAAATAAATAAATAAATAAATAATAAAACAACAACAACAAAACCCACACAAAAACAATTTAATCCATCACACAAAAGCCAAAAGAAGAGATCCAGAACCTAGGAACAAAGACAGTGAGGGACTACTGAGGTAGTTCAGTGGTGGAGTACTCGCCTAGCACATGCAAGGTTTGATGCTCAGCATGACAGGCTTCAGGATGAGGATAGGGGGCTGGAAGGCAAAGACGGTAAGAGACAGTAAGGGCAGGTACAGAAAGAAATGGCTGTCAATAAGAAAAAGTGGAAAAAGAGTCTGATGTCACACAGCACAGCCACAGCCAGAATCCTAATCATAATATTAAATAAATGTGGAAGAGGGTAGACACAGGAAGAGTGCCAACAGGAAAGCCCAACAGAAACACAGATCCCACTGGCAGCTCCAACCACAGGGTGCAGGGTGTAAGCCATTAGCCCTTAAGAGCCAGAGACATGGAAATGAAGAGTTGGAAGGGGTGGGTCCAAGTCAGCTATCTCTTGTACTCAGCACTGTTTTATTCTAGAACCTTTAGTGTCACATTCAGATCAATCAATCAGCTTGTTACTTTTCTGTTCAGTATGTGGTAGAACTAAGTTTTACCCTTACAGATTCATTTGCTCATCATCAACTCAGAAAAATCAATCCTAGTACTGTTGTACCGTGATCACAATAATAAACCAACATCCACAGCTTCCTATAGACCCTCTGTCCTGCCCCGCTGGCCCACTTTCTACCCTCCAGGCACCAGCATGTCACTGACTGCTGGAACCTTACCATTTTACCCACTGCTGAAGCCTCCAACTGTTCTGGCATTATGTACTGTGCAGATGTGTCACAGTTGTGCACTTTTTGTTGGGATCTATTCCTCAGTGCTTGTTTTCAATGTTTTTACTTGCTTAATTCTAACATATAGAAACACAACTCATTTTTCATATTGACTATTACTAACCCTTCCAAATTAAAATCACTTATTAATCCTAATGATTTGCTTCTCTTTAGATTTCCTACACATTGACTTAAAAAAGACAGGAAAATCTAGGTTGAGGAAAGAAGCCAGGCCAGACATGAAGAAAACACAGATTTCCAGAAATATTAAGCAGGAAGGGAACAGGCATTTCAAGTAGAAATACCACCATGCAGCCATGCAGGCCTGCACCCCCGAAAGAGTCATCTGTAAGAAAAGGGACGGGACAGGTCTGATTCATGAGTATTCCCCTTCTTCCCCCACAATTGACCCACTGAAAGAGGCCTGGTAGTGAAAGGAAGTTTCTAGGCCATGGCTTACCGGGACAGGGCCCTGGACAGCTCCCACCACAGGGGCTGCAGCCCCACCCTGCACAGCCTTCTTGGCAGATGACGTCTCCTGGCTCTTGGGCTTCCTCTTCTCCCGTTTGCGGTCTCGCTCCACAAAAGTACCCTTCATCTTGGCAATGATATCCGAGTCGGTCTTGGCATACTGAATGCGCTATCAAAAGAGCACAAGGATTAGGGAATCAAATTCAGAGCCAAATTGTGTGAGCCCAAAAATCAGACCTTACCAGGAAAAATGCTGGCCTAGCACCCACAAAGCCCTGGGTTCAGTTCCAATACTACCCCCTCAAAAAAAATCACTTGGATTTATTTTCTTCATCTGTAAAATGAGGATATGAAATTTCACACTTCAAAATATTACTGTGAAGGGGCCGGGGAGATGGCTCAGTGGAATAAGCACTTCTCTGGCAAACGCAAGGGCCTGAGTTCAATCCCCAGTTCCGGGAAAAAAAAAAAAAAAATTACTGTGAGAATTAGACGAATTTAAAGTTTTCAGAATAGCACCCTGCCTGACACACAGGGGCCAGCACTATGCAAAGGAGTTCACTCGGCCCTCTATGGAGGGCCCACTGCTGCCAGGCACCATTCTAGGCCGTGGGAGTGCAGCAGCAAGCAGAACAGACAAAAGCCCTGCCAAACGGCACTTACTCTGTGTGGGAGGTATGGTAAAGAGCACATTGAAAAGGGGGTGTGAAGTGTTGAGAAATGAATCTTTCCGATGAGGTGGCCAGGAAAGGGCTCTGCGTGGCAACATTCGTGCAGAAGCAGAGGGGAAGAGTGGAGGAGCACCGAGGACGCCTGGGGTAAAGAGTCTTGCAGCAAAGGGAGCAGCCATGCAAGGAGCTCAGGGTCACTTCGTGTGCTGGGAAACAGCAAGGAGGCGGGACAACAGGGAGCGAGGAGCCAAGACAAAAACAGGGGACCATGGCATGGTGAGGACTCTTTCCTAAGAAGCAGGACAGTGATGATGGGCTTTTGCTCATGTCTCAAAAGGAACCCTGAGGAGAGGAGCAGGGGGTGTGGAAAAAAGAGCAGGTGACCAAGCAGGAACAAGCAGGCCACTGCCACAGTCCTTACGGAGCAAGGTGCTAGCTAGGACCAGGGCAGCAGCGGGCAGGAATGCAAGCAGGCAGTTAGGACATCTTCTGAAGGTAGGGCCGACCGGACTGATAAAATTTGCACATACTCAAGTTTATGATGTGCTCCAACAGTTATCAGGCATGGGGCTTGTGGGGATACAAGTTTTTGTTTTTGTTTTTTGAAACAGGGTGTCACCATATACTTCAGACTGGCCTTAAACTCAATGCAATCCTACCTCAGCTTCCTTTTTTTTTTTTTTTTTTGCGGATCGGGGATTGAACTCAGGCCTTCACGCTCGCCAGGGAAGCGCTTATTCCACTGAGCCATCTCCCCAGCCCCCTACCTCAGTTTCTTGAGTGCTAGGATTATAGGGATGTACCCCCATGCCAGCTAAGATTTATGGTTTTTAAACATCTAAAGGCAGTACCTAGGGGCCAGGGAGATAGTTCAGTAGAATAAGCACTTACCAGTCCTGAGTTCAATCCCAGTACCCCCCAAAATAAACATATAAATAAAAATTAAAAAATTTCCTAAAATCTTGTTTTGAGATTTTGGACCATTGTTTTTATTTTTTTTCTTTAAAATAAAAATAACTGAAGTCAAAAATTAAAACACACACACACACACAAAAATAAATAAATAAATAAATAAAAATAAAGGCAACATCTAGATGCTTGAAAATCATTGTCTGTAAGATGTGGTGATGGCACACTGCTATACCCAGAGGAGGAGGGAGGTGACAGCTAACTGGTCACTCCTGGAGTCCCTGCGTCCCCGGGGATTCACCTCCACATGGGTAACCCATCTGGACTTGTCATCATTTATACAGGGAGCTGATACAGTAACATATTCCAACCAGGTGAAACTAAAAACTGATCAAGGCAGACAGGGAAAAGGCCCAAGGGTGCCTGCCAGCAGTCTACAAGGAATTACACTTCGGCGCAAAGCCATTCACCCCCTCGGCCTTCCCACAGAGTACAGTCCCCTCCTTGACATCCACCTGGCTCGAGGGATCATTTGTGGCACACCCTCTCCTCCCACCCTCTAAACCAGTCTACCCAAAAACCAGGGGCGTGTCCTTAATTAAGTCCTTCTTCCCCCAGCTCCCAGCACTCTCAGAATGAAGTCTACCTTCAGGACAAGCCTAGTTCCTTAACCCAGACCATGCTCAAGGTCAAGCTCTCCCCTGCACTCCCACCCTCAGCTGAGTTTTCAAGTCCCTTTTCGTAAAGAAAGCCCTGCATAAACCCACATACAAGGTGAGCTGTCTCCCCTAAACTCTCCCAGCTCTCTGTGCTTCCCTCATCCTAGTCCCGACTCCCAGGTAGGCCTGTGCCTCCGTGCTATGGTTTGTGTATAGGTGTCCCCCAAAAGCCTCACACAGTCATGGGGTGGCTTGGCTTCTGGAATTTGTGATTCTTTTTTTTTTTTTTTGGGGGAACCAGGGATTGAACTCAGGCCCTTGAGCTTGCCAGGCAAGCACTTATTCTACTGAGCCATCTCCCCAGCCCCTGTGATTGATTCTTGATCCAATGCTGGGACAGCAGGTGTGAGTGCTATACCCAGCCCAAGAGTGGGTAACTTGCATTACAATGTAAGTAAGAAGGGGAGAGAGGCTATCTAGCTGCCTAAGCTGCTTCCCCTCCCTGTTCCTGTGCTCTTTACTGCTGCATTGAAAGGTTGCTCTCTGCCATCTGCTTCTCTGCCTTGGAGCCAACTATATAGACTGAAACCTCCAGTAACTATGAGCTAAACAAACCTCAGGGAAAGGGCTTGAGTTCAATCCCTGGTTCAGGAAAAAAAAAAAAAAAAAAAAACACCCACGAACTTTTCCTTCCTTCATCTTGGGTGTTGGGTATTTATCCCAGCAACCAAAGAGTAACCAACACACTCCCCATCCTGGTCCTGATCTCTCTGCCAATCCTTCCCTCATAGAATTATGGGGCCAGAAAGGACAAGGCTGGGGGTTCTTTAGTCAATGTTTCCCACATCCCTGGTTCAAAGAAAAATAAGTACCAAGGAACAGCAAGATAGAAGTACCTCCCTGAGGGTACTAGACTACAGCTGAGAGGAGGTTCAGGCCCATCCAGTCTCCTGAATGAAGCACATGCACACACATCGGTGCAGGCACTCACAATGCTCACCATTGGCTTGTCGTAGAAAGGGAAACCTTGCATGGAGCGCAGGGCATTGGTGGCACTGCTAACTTCCTTGAAGATGACAAAAGCCTGCCCTCTCATCTTCAGGCTCCGAGACACCAGAATATCCAGGATCTGGCCAAACTGGGAGAAGATGGCATACAGGGACTTCTTCAGCTCTGTAGTTGGGAGAAGGAAAAAACCAATAGTTTCCAGAAGCTTTGGTACCATGTTAGGAACTTACACTCCTGTTTTCAGAAGAAGTAAACCCCAGGTAGGAGGCCACCAGCCAAGTGACAGTACCCAGAATGACACAGGTCAATAATCTCTCAAGATCCCACAATGGGGGCTGAAGAGATGGCTCAGTGGTCTAAAAGCACCTACTTGGAACAAGCTTGGCAAAGCACAGGGACCGCGGTTCGATCCCCAGCACCACATGCCAGCCAGCCCCGCCCCCTGGTGGGCTGAGCTGGCCACACACACACACACACACTAAATAAATGTAAAAATAAAATAAATGATTTAAAAAAAAAAAAGATCCCACAATGGGGGCTGGTGAGATGGCTCAGTGGTCTAAAGTACCTACTTAGAACAAGCTTAGCAAAGCACAGGGACCGCGGTTCAATCCCCCAGCACCACATGCCAGTCAGCCCTGCCCCCTGGTGGGCTGAGCTGGCCACACACACACACACACACACACACACACACAAAAAAAAAAAAAATTTTAAAAAAAAAAAAAAAAAAAAAGAAGTCCTTAAAAAAGAAAAAAAAGGGCTGGGGAGATGGCTCAGTGGAATAAGCACTTCTCTGGCAAGTGCAAGGGCCTGAGTTCAATCCCCAGTTCGGCAAAAAAAAAAAAAAAAAAAAAAAAAAAAGATCCCACAAAGCGAACAGGCAGGAACTACTCAAACAGTAAACAGTAGTATTTTTCTACAAAACATACAGTCACTATAGAATGATTTTTTCTAATGGTGTTTGTAAGTAGGATCACAAGTCTGCATCTTGTACAGCAATTAACCACTAAGAAGAATATATGCAGTGTATTATTTGTTGAAACTGTACTTTCGATTTGATTTGAAACTGTCTCATTGCTATATGTTTATCAATAAAACTTTGAAAAGAAAAAAAAAAACATACAGTCACTGTACCTGCCCACAGAGCTTTTACAAGGAACATGAGTACCTACACACAAAGGGCTCAGAACACCATGTGGCACACAGTAAGTCCTTAAGCAGTTGCATTGTTTTCTGAGGCGGGGACATCTCACCAGGTGGCCCAGGCTGGCCACCAACTTGTGATCCTCCTGCCTCAGTCTCTAGAGGACCTGGGATTACTGAGGTACACAGCTCACACTTTTTTTCACTGTCACCAACATACTGACAAAGGCTTGATTAATATGGTACTGGAAAACTTCCTTAACCTTGTCTCTGCCTACACTCAACCTCCATCCCAAGCCACAATGGCATTGTGCTCCCTTCTCAAGCTGGACGCATGACCTACGCTTCTAGGGCTTTGCCCTAGCTGTTTTTCTGGCCTGGTATATCCTTCTCCTGATGTTAACCTGGCTTCCTCCTCCTAGTGACTCAGGTCTCAGCAGATACGCTGCCACTCCAAGGGATTCCTCTGACCATCACATCCACCCTTCCTCCCATGTCCTCACCCTACTGCCTTTTCATTGTTACACTTTCCACCTCCTGACATATGCTTATGTATCACTCTCCTCAGGAGCTACATAAGCCCAGCTGATTTGTTCACCGTAGTCTGCTCATGCCTAGTGCAGACTCTGGCGCACACACACCCCACAAACACTGAGTAAATACATGTTTGTGGAAAGGACTCCTAAGTCCTCAGAACCCAAAGGCGGCATCACTTGCTGTGCCATTTTTCCTAAGAGAGAAACAGGCTCCCAGAGAATGTGTCCCTGTTCCTGAGGGTGCTGGGAAGCACATGACAACTAGGTCCACAATCCAAGTCTTTCTGAACCCCAAACCACTGGGCACCACCAGCAAACTGCCTCACTTGCTAGCTAGAGGAAATCATGCTCAATAAAAGATTGTTCTAACCATCAACAACTTATACAAAGGCAACAGTTATACAAAGCTGGCTGAGGTTGGCTGTGGCTGCACATGCCTCTGTGCACTTGAGAGGCTAAGGCCAGAAAATCCTTACAAATTTGAGGTCAGCCTGCATTACACTGCAAGACCCTGTCTCAAAAATCAAAAGCAGGGGCTGGTGAGATGGCTCAGTGGTCTACAGCACCTACTTAGAACAAGCTTAGCAAAGCACAGGGACCGCGGTTCAATCCCCCAGCACCACATGCCAGCCAGCCCCGCCCCCTGGTGGGCTGAGCTGGCCACACACACATATACACACACATAAATAAATAAAATTTAAAAAAAATCAAAAGCAAAGAGGTTGGAGAGATAGCTCAGTGGCCTAAAGCACCTGATTATACAAGCTTAGGCAGCCACTGGGGATGGTGGTTCAATCCCTGACACACGTGCCAGCACAGCCCTCAGGGCGGGCTGAGCCAGCCAAAAAATGAAATGTGTAAAAATGAAAAACAAAAGGTGGCTGAGATGCAGCTGCTTCTTGACAGTTCTCCAAAAAGGAAAGAAAACATGTATGCTGACCGGGGAGATTAGAGTCAAAGATGTTTTAAATCAGTTAGCTAATAATCCTGGTGTGAACACACCTAGTTTTTTCCTCCATGGTCCACTCCATCCAACCCACTCCAGATCTCAGTCATTCCCCTGGGTTTGGTAGCTCTCCCACTTTGCAGCCTCCCCTCTAGCCCATCCATGTTTACTCTCCGTAACTGGGAAGACATTCCACAAGGGACTCAGTCAAAACTAGGGAGCAGCATGATTTTCCACCCCCAAAACTAAGTCCCATGAAACCCCAAGAGCCACCAGTGTTCTGCTGCACCTTTTACAGGCCTTGGCCCAGAGTTCCCAGAACACCCCTGGAACCTAGCACACAGTGGCCCAAATAACTTCTTCCTGGGTGCAAATGTTCATGTCTGTGATCCCAGCTACCTAGAGAGCCAAGGCAAGTGGGGAAGGGAGGGGGTCACAAGTTTGAGATGAGCACGAGCAACTTAGCAACAGCCTGTTGCAAAAAATGAAAAGGGCTAGAGAGGTAGTTAGTGGGAAAGGGCTTGCCAAGAATGAGCAAGGCCCTGAGTTCAATCCTCAGCACCTCAAAAAATAAAAACATTGCAGGTATGGTGGTACATGGAAATCCCAGCACTCAGAAGTGGTGGAATCACAAGTTCAAGGTCAGCTTGGACTACAAACTGAGACCCTGTGTCTGAAGAAAAAGTAGTGGAGGGAAGGTAAAAGCAGCGGAGGGGGATTCCTCTTCTACCTCATAATTACGGAATTAATGCTGCTAAGCAGAAAGCTTTTCAAAAATGTGTATTTCAACATGTCTTCCTAGACTCCCGGCAGCGGTGTGACCCCTATGCCTGCAGACCCCATCATGTCCCTGACCACTGTGGGGTGGCTCTCTGGCAGTGCAGGACCAGGGCTCTCTATCTCCAATGTTGTGTCCAGGGCACTGCTGAGTACTGGCTAGACACCACACTCTTTAAACCACATGCAGAATTTACATTCCTGGTTTTGTTTTCTTCAACAGCAACTTAACTTGAAACCTCAAACTTAATCCCAATAAGCTCCTGACAGTTTCCTGAGATGGTAAGGTAACAAGAGCTAACATTCACTCAACCCTCACTAATTGCTGGGTGCCATAAAAGTACCACGTGGAGATGTAGCTACTTTGATGCCCTGCACACCTATAATTCTAGCACTCAGGAAACTGAGGCAGGAGGATCCCTTGAATGCAAGGTGCGGGCATGAACTACATAGCAGGACTCTATCTCCAAAGGCAGAGGGACATTTAGGACTCTGCTTAGTTTTCAGATACAGAAAATATGCTTCAGTAGAGGTGATAAATTGGGGGCCCGCCCCTTAGCTCAGTTCTTTAAGTGGCTGCTTCAACAAAGCAATCGGGTTCAGGTTGCTATAGTTTGATCCCCACAACTCAAGCCAGCCAAGGGGGCCTGGCCCTAGCTCAGGCCTTTAAGTGGCAGCTTCCACAAAGCTGTCAGCCTCAGGTTGCTGGAGTTCGAACCTCACAACTCTCCCGCTGGCCAAAAGTGCCCTGAAGGCGTTCGAGGATCAAGCCAGCCAAACCTGCCCTGAAGGCATTTGTTTTTTTTTTTAATTTTATTTATTTATTGTGTGTGTGTGTGTGTGTGTGTGTGTGTGGCCAGCTCAGCCCACCAGGGGGCGGGGCGGGCTGGCATGTGGTGCTGGGGAATTGAACCGCGGTCTCTGTGCTTTGTGCTTTGCTAAGCTTGTTCTAAGTAGGTGCTCTAGACCACTGAGCCATCTCACCAGCCCCCCTGAAGGCATTTGGAGGAAAAAAAAAATCCTTATTCCATTTAAATAATAAATAAATAAATAAATAAAAATAAAGATGATAAATTAAGCAAGAAAATGGTGGAAGTACTTCTGATTTCAAAAACTGAGTTTTGGTTGTGTATAGTTACATCCACCCACAGGCAGGAACTGAGTGCATTTTTGCAGTATTAGGGGCTGAACCAGAGCCTCACACTGAGTTATATTTTTTGGGGAGGGGGGGTGGGTATTTTTTTTTTTTAAAGACAGTGTCTTGCTATGTAGCAAGCTGGTCTGAACTCACTACTCACTATGTAGCCCTGGCTGACCCTGATGTTGCAACAGTACTTCTGCCTGAGCCTCCAGACATGTCTTATTTCTGACACAATCTTGCTAATAAATTGCCCAAGCTGGCCTGGAACTTGGGATGCTCCTACCACAGCATTCCAGGTAGCTGAGATTATGGTGTGGTCTGAGGAACTGAATTTTTAAACTCCATACAAGAATTCCACCCTTGTGATCTCAACTACTTTCCTTGCTGTGTGACCCTGAGCAAGTTACAACACTTGGGCCTCAAATTTCCTAACTGTGAAAGCAGGAATAACAATAGCACCCTGCTGCAGGTTTGTGAGAAATATAATCAAAATTTATTGTCAGGAAGACAGCTCAGACGCTGAAGTGCCTGACTGGCAAGTGCAAGGTCCCAAGTTCGATCCCCAGTACCAAATGTCGACCACCATTACTAGTGTACACTTCCATTATGGACTGACCATTGAGTACACCACAAGGACCAAATCAGCCTTAAGTTTCTGACCTAAAAGAGTTCACAGGCCAGGGGAGGAACAGCATGAAGAGCGCAGAATGACTGAGTTGTATGGGGAAGAGTTAGGGTCTCTGTGAGCTAAAACCCTTATTACTGTATTAACATTAACCAGATTAAAGAACAAAGTGTAAAATGAACTATGGGAGTGCTGAATACACTGTAAGTACAACAACGAAAAAATTAACTCTAGTAGTTTAGCTGGACAGGAATGAGAAAAAAGAGAACATGCTGAAGTTGAAAAGAGGCTACTTCACGAGATGAAATAAAGAGTCCAGAATACACCAAGAACTCACCATCTTTCTTGATCTTCTCATTGAGGTTGTTGATATAAATAGTGTGATTGGGGCGGGTCTCAGGAACTGCCATGGTAGGGCTTAAAGAAAGAAAAATACGACTTTAGCCCTGAATTTCTCCAAATCTCCTGTTCCAACCCTGGATCAGCTAAAGTCAAAGACCTTCACTCTAATAGAATGTCTGGTAACACCGGAGTTAAGGGCAGGAGGCGCAGCCTGGGCAACAAAGAGTGCGCAGGATGAGAGCGATTTCGCCTCTCCCACCCGCGTGGAGAACCGTCTTCAGCTTACTACCAGTCCCAGGATGCCCCACGTGGCCCAGTTGGCGGAGCGCCCCCTACGGCGATTCTCATTGGCCCACGTGCCCAAAGGGGGGGGAGAAAAACCCGGATGTATGAGCCAGTTATGAAAGCCGAACAATTTTAGGACACCCCAACCTCGCACAACAATAAAATCTCTTCATACATCGCCCGACTCCATGTATGATGGATGCCCTGACCACCTTTCTGACACCTACAGCCACCAGGACTGAGGTAACTTACCAACAGGGCCGCAGGTCCCACGAGCACCGACAACCAAGTAATTCAGATCAGACCGCAGCGACGCTGCCTTTCCAGGCCCACCTTTATCTTCCCGCAAGCCAATCCCCGCGCGGAAGTTCGGTAGATCGACCAATCAGAGTAAGTTTAGTCCGGTACTGAAGGCTTACCAATCAAAACGATGCTTGGATTCCCGCCTCAGCTGTAAAACCCGCCCTACTGTAACGTCAGTGGGTCTACAGCCCAATCAACGAAGGTCACGAGCTTTCCAATCAATCCTGCTGCAACTAGCGCCCTTGTCTCTTCCGCAGGCGGCTGTTAGAAAGGCCCACCTCTTCCCCCGGAGCCGCGCATCGTCTGTGACGTCATCAGTAAAGGGGTGGGCACGCGCTGCTCGTTCTGCCACGTGATGTGGGACCAGCTGTGTGCGGGAGCCGCCATTTTGCACCGAAGGGCAGTGCGTTCTACTTCCTGAACTGCGTTTCCTGTCTCCGCAGTATCGCGGATCCTCTAGGCCTCAGATCGCGGAGCCTTCTCCTACCCACAGACTTTTCCTGTCGCTGATTGTAGGATTTTATCCACAACTGGGCTATTTTCTTTACCTGATGTCCTTTTTGACCTCTTGACCTCTGGCTCAAAGGTCAGCTCCCGAGTTCATTACTTGGGCAGGGGTTATAAAGGGGGATGGAAGGTATAAATTTTTCCATTTTTAGCTCTAGGGCCTCTGAGTCTCACTGAAGATCTGAGTCTTCATATCCCAAATATGAAGTTTACATATGGAGTTTACAAATTCAGGCTCAGTGAACGAGACTAGCCCAACAAAATTTCCCTTTCTAAGCCTCCAGCCGCAAGTTAAACCCCGGAGACCCCTCCCCTTACCACAAATCTGATTCTGGATTTAATCGCACTGTTGACTCTCAGATTTCTTCTGAATTGAATTGACCCCAGTTCCTGGTACTGGTTTGAATATTCAACTCTTAATTTTTTTTTTTTTTTTTTTTGGCTTGGTAACAGGTACACCTCAGTCCTAAAATCTCTCCCAGAGACAAAACCTTTTGGAGAATCCTGCACTCTCCTAATCCCTCCGCCCCTTCTGAAGATCCCAAAATGACTTCCTACTCTTCCCCCCTAGAATCCTCAGTCCCTTCAAGACACCCTGTACCCCAGGCCCTCATTCCACCTTCTCCCCTACTCCTAAGTCACTTGCATGTACCTTTTCCACTAACTCCCTGCAGTCTTCAAACCCCTGTCCCCCCACCACCCCCACTTCCTCCACCCCCTGCCATGAGGGCTATCCCCCCTCATGTCTACGGATTAGAGAAGAGCCAGCTCCTGAAGGAGGCCTTGGAGAAGGCAGGCCCAAACCCCAAGGGCCAAGAAGATGTGAGGAGACTCCTGAAGTTGCACAAGGACCGGTAGGGTCTCCAAAAATACCTGTCCCCATGTCACTTCAGCTGTTTCATTTCAGGTTTCCCATTTTCTGAGGTCAAACAGGCAGTGACATCAGTCCCCTACCGTAGTGATGCACCTCCAGCAGTGGAAAATGCTGCGCTCAGCAGTGCCTGGTGCAGGGGTAAAGCAGACTCTCAGCCTTCCAGACAGTGACAGTCAGGAGTTGTCAGGTTATGATCAGAGGTAAAAGGGGGCATCTGACTCAGGACAGCTACGTGGAGAGGGTGAGCTGACAGAGTGGACAGAGTTTGGAAAGTAGACTGCTTGGGCAAAAGGCCCAGAAAAAATGAGGACATGTTCCTTTTTAAAGAACTGCAAATATTTAGTTAACAGAACAAGGGAAGTAGCTAAAAGGTGGGCAGGACCAGCTCATACAGGAGATGGTGGGGCATGTGAAGAGAACTGAACCATCCTGGGGGCAGTGGGAAGCCATGGAAAGGTTTTGTTCAGGAGGAGGCCAAAACCTATGGTAAAAAAAAAAAAAAAAAAACTATTGTAGTAAAGATAACGGAAGGCATGAGACTAGCTCAGGGGCCCAGGAAAGAAGCTAGAACAACAGGAACTTGGGATGCAGGGGAGGTAAAAGGAGGGAGTTATGTATGTGCTAGAACCATAAGGACTTAATTTAGAGAAGACAGTAAAGGGACTTGCCAAACTAAGAAGAAACTCCCAAGGCCCCAGCCATTTTTATAATTGGTCCTACGTGCCCCAACCATAGTAAGACAAATTTGTTCAAATAACAAGTACTGGGGTTGGGGCAGTGGCTCAGTAGAGTAAGCGTTTCCCTGGCAAGTGCAAGGGCCTGAGTTCAATCCCCAGTTCTGCCAAAACCCAAACACAACCAGTACCTATTACCATGTGAGTAGCCATGTCAAATAGTATTCTTTTGTTTTATTTTGGTGGGGTTTTTTGTCTTTTTGAGATAGGGTTTCACTATAAGTTCAGACTGGCATTGAACTCATTTTTTTTTTTTTTTTTGAACTCATTTTGTAGCCCACTCTGGCCTCGAACTCACAGTGATCCCCCTACCTCAGCCTCCAGAGCTCAGGGATCACAAGTGTGTGCCACCATACCCTGTTTAACAGATTTAAAGGAGGAAAAAAATCGTGAAATTTGGGCATAAGGTACTCCCTTGAGTAATTTCTTCACGTAAATCTGACTCATTACAAAGTTTGAACATTTGTTCTGGCCTTCAGTTCCTGAGAGAAACACAGGGTCAAGCAGGCACTATGATGACCCCCCCCCCCCGCCATGCCAGGTGAAAAAACTGAGGCTCGGGAGACAAGGAAGTTAGCAGCAGAGCCAGAAGCAGCCCTTTGACCTTAGGACAGTCAGGCCTGTGTTCCCTTCCCAGTCCCTGGACATCTGCTTGCAGGTAGCCCCCAGAGACTGTAGAGTTCCCTTGTAACCTGAGTATGGCTCTGCTTCAGGTTCCGAAGTGACTTGCAGTGGATCCTGTTCTGTGCTGACCTGCCATCGCTCATCCAAGAGGGCCCTCAGTATGTGTCCCCTGGCCACCCTTGCTCTGCCCTGCTGCCCTTCTGACACCTGGGCTCGGAGGCAGGGGAGGGGCACTTGGCGTAGCTTGGGTGCATGTGGGCTGGGGTGCTACCACAGAAGGTACTGGGTGGCCCTGGGGAGCAGGTGAGCAAACTCCTCTCTTTTCCACCCGGTGCCCAGCATGCCATGCCAGCCACCACTCTTACCCAAGGAAAGCTCCTCAAGAGCCATCTTCCTTCTCTGGTACAGACTCCCTGGAACCCCAGTGACCTTGGTCCCCACCCTCCAGCTCTGGACTCAGGGCCTTGTCCCTTGAAGCCAAGCAAGGTTTTCCCATCTGGCCTAGTGGCAGGGAAGGAACTTGGCCCCCTACTCCAACTTCTGGGGTGGAGGAACCAGTACAGGGCCAGGGCTGTCTCCCAGGTGTGGCTTGGTGGCCTTGTGGATGGCAGGTGCTCTTCTGGCTCCGCCCAGCGGTGTTCCCCTGGAGAGACTTGTGCAGGTCGCCATGGACAGAGGCTACACGGCACAGGGAGAAATGTTCTCTGGTGAGTTGGCCAAGGAGGGTCTCATGGTCCTTGGTACTTCCTGGGAGGGAACAGGAGAGACAGGTGGGGCGCTGCAGGCCTGGGTGGGGGGGAGTCTCATTCTCATTTCCAAACTTGCCCTGCCACTCAATGCCTACTAAGCCAGGTGGTCACCTGGTAGAGCGTGGAACCGGGCTCTCTGGGCTCTAGACTCACCTCTGTCACCTCTCACATGGCCATGGGCAAGTAGCTGACCCCCTCGGTCCTTCAGTTTCTGCCTTATATCACAGTGGGGCCAGGCATGTGGGGGTTGGAAGCACAGGCCCTGCCAGCTCCAGCCACAAGTCCCTCTGTCTGTGTGTGCAATCTCGCCACAGTGGCCAACATGGGCAGGCTGGCCCAGGAGACGCTGGGCTGTCAGACTGAGCTGCTTCACAGTGGACTGGGTGGTCCCAACAGAGACCTGATCCTGCAGCACCTCATCGCCGGACACCCACTGCTTGTCCCGTATCCAAGGACCAGGGTAGGAGGCAGGCCAGAGGGCCGGGGAAGAGTGGGTCCCACTTCTGGTAGTTTCTTCCCTTAATGCCAGCACCAGCTATGACGAAGACTTCAATCACGAGCCGTGTAAGAGGAAGGGCCACAAGGCCCACTGGGCAGTCAGTGCAGGTAGGTGCGCGTCCTTTGGCCCTGTCCACCCTCCACCTGAGTCTCCCAGCCCCCAGCAACCCCTCCACAGTACAGACCAAGGCTGGGCTGCCTCTGTCCCCAGGCACTTAACCTGAGACCTGGGGGCCACAGGTGCCTCCGGGGTCTACCAGCTGGGGTTTCTGCAAGCAGGAGCTCATAGCACAGATGCAGCCCTGGTTCCAGTCACTTCCAGACCCCGTGACCAGATAGGTTTCACCTCTGGGCCTCTTATTTCCCATCTGGAAATCCAGGGTCACATTCGTACCATCTCATAAGGCAGTCTTTTTTGCTTTGAGTTTTTGAGACAAAGTCTCATTATGTGGTTCAAGCTGTCCTTGAATTATGTAGTCCAGGCTGGCCTTGAATTCACAGCAGCCCTCCTGCCTCAGCCTCCCAAGTGTTAGATTGCACACCTGGCTCATAAAGCAGTGTCATAAGCGAAGCTTATAACATTCCTAAAACATTAGTTGGGATGCTATGCAGCTCAGTAAATATCACCAGCATTGTCACTGTCATGCCACCTGCCTGAAAGAAAGTCAGAGATTTGTATCCATCAAGAGGCCACGATGGAGACTCAGCCTTTTCATGGCCATGTGGCCTCCAGGGCTCCTCCCTGAGCATCTCTCTCCTGGGCAGTCTACCATCTCGTGCCACCTCTCCAGCTCCCCTGTGCTGTGAAGTGCAGGACTTAAAATGCCAAGGCCCTTGGGTCCCCTTTCAGCCCAGCCATGTGCCCACTGGTCCCCACTAGCTGGTCTGTGAGGTGGAGATCAGGATACTGCCTGCTGTGGAAGGCTGAATTCAGGGAGCTCCGGCACCTGGTAGTGCTCGGGTAGCAGCCCACTCACATCGTCTTCTCACCCACAGGTGTCCTGCTGGGTGTGCAGGCAGTGCCACACCTTGGCTATGCCGAGGATCTGGAGCTGCCTGGTCTCTTCCACCCGGTGCCCAGCACGCCGTGCCAGCTACCACTCTTACCCAAGGAAAGCTCCTCAGGAGCCATCTTCCTTCTCTGCAAGCAGGGAAAGAGCTGGCACTACCAGCTGTGGGACTATGACCAAGTCCGGGATAGCAACCTGCAGCTGACAGACTTCTCACCCTCTAGGGCTGCTGATGGGCGGGTGTATGTGGTACCCCCTGGGGGGGTGCAGGCCGGCCTCTGTGGCCAGGCTCTGCTGCTCAGACCACAGGAGTCAAGCCACTAGCTAAGGCTGGGGCACTTGTCCACAGCTTGGCTTTGTTGCCTTTCAAAGAGTGTCCCAGCTTTTCACCCTGTGCAGTAGTTAAAGGTTTGGGCGGGATCTCTGAGGGCCCCCCACCCATCCCATCTCCAGCCTAGCAACTGCCCAGGCCATCTCTTCCAGCACTGGTACTGAAAGCCCTCTGTCAGGGAGACACTGGTGGCAAGCAGATTATCTGCAGGAGCCCAGGCTGGACCTTCAGCTGCACCCCACCCCCTAGGGCGCTGTTCTGCTCCCAGGACAGGGACTGAGCGCTTTTTCTTAGCTGCCCTCTCCTTGGCCCAGCTCTCCCTCACCTGTCCACCGTACTGACCTCTTAGGTCTCCAGAGTGCCAGATGGCCCCAGCCCTGTGCTAAGATCACACCTCATTCTCCCTAGGGACTCAGATACCACTTCCTGGGAAAGAGTCCTTCAGCCCAGGCTGCGGCTCCCCTATTTTTGCTTTTGAGATACTGTGACACTGTGTCAGGAGTTTAAAGCCCATCCAAGGGGACCAGAGAGATGGCTCAGTGTAATCAATTCCCTGGCAAGCGCAAAGGCCTGAGTTCAGTCCCCGGTTCCACCAAAAAAATAAAGCCCATCCAAGAGCAGTTACACATGCAACTGTCTGTCCGTTGTTAATTCATCAACAACTCCCTGTACAGCAGGTACCAGGGTCTCTGTCTTGGAACATTTTCTGTTGCGTGAAAGTCCCTGAGACCTCAGGGTTCTGGAGTCTAAGCAGTCAGAGGATGGGGACGGCTTTCTTGTTGTCTCAGCAAGCCCGCTATCTTGGTCTCTCTTCCTCTTAGCCACTTCTGCCATAGTGGAGCTCCACCCTGGTGACCTGACCTAATCCTAATTACCGCATGAATCAGGATTTATGTTTCCAACAGGTGAACTTTGAGGGGATGGGTCACATCTTAGCACCCCTCCCCCATTTGACATGAGTAGGCTGGGATCTGGAAGTCATATGGCTGGCAAGTGGCAGGGTCAGGATTCAGGACAAGTAGTCTCTGGCCACCAGCCAGGCCACCCTGTGGACACCTGAACCTCATTACTGAGCTGACTGCAAACTGTTCTTCCCATCTGTCTGTCCAAACAAGGGTACGGCTACATGGTGAACGTTAAGATTCTCACATGAATGAGTAGCCGTCACCTCCCCTTCAAAAGGGAATGTGTCTGTCTCAGTTATTGCAGTGCCCCAGAGGGTCTCCTATACGGAAACCGCGGTGTAGTGGTTCTAATCAATGAAGAGGTGCGATCCCATCTCAACCCTGGTGCTTTGGACCTGTCCCAGGAGCCCATGGGGACACGGCTGGGAATCATCTCAAACACCAACCGCTGTGTCCCCTGGGTTGGCCAGAATAGAGCCAGGCACAAGCAGCTCAGAGGATGCCGAATGAATGAAGCAGCTGGCTCAGCCTGCCTCAGTCCTGAGGTGATCATTATCCCATTACCCCACCGGGCACTAAGGCCCGCCCAGGTGTCACTGAGCCTACACACCCAGATAGAAAGGAAAAGACATTGACTTTGAGTGTTCTGTTTATTAGCGTCCTGTGGGTGGGAGGCAGAGTGAAGCCATTTGCCTCATGCTCCCCCAGTACCCCACCTAACAAGTACCTCACATATTTATAAATAAGTATAAAGAACGTCAGTAGAAAAGGAGAAGGCTGACTTCGCTCAGCCCCGGAAGACAAACTTAGGGCTCCAGTTTGAGAAGGGTGGATGCCTGTCACAACCCACCCTTGTGGGACAGGAGGCCAAAGTTACAAGTGCTAGAGCACTGAACGGAGCGTGCGTGTTCCACACCCCAGGGCTCTGGAGTCTTTGGTTTAGGCCAGGTGGCAAGCCCAAGGGAATGGCCAACAGCTAACCAAGGCTGGCACTTTTCCCTGGAGAAGGACTCTTCTCTGAACTGGGCCAAAGAATCCTCAGGAAGGCAACTGTGCTTCCCAAAGAAGGAACCTGCTTCCCCTGCCTGGGAGACTGCTGCCGCAGCAGTCCACTGGGAGGGAGGAGACGGGAGCCCAAGACTCAGGGACAGAAGGAGGAAGTGCTGAGGTTGCTCCGGTGCACCAAAGAATGAGGTCTTACTGGTCACAGCGCTGACACCCGGCCACATGTGGCTGCAGCCTGGGTCTGTAGGGGGTCATCAGGATCTCCAGGGGAGCACCCCACCAGGCTGCAGCAGGGCAGGAAGGAGGCTGTACTGCGCCCCACCCCAGGACATTGCCCTGGGCAGCGTCAGCAGGCATCTCACGTGTCATTCTCTCCACTCAGCACTTGGATGGCCTCCAACAGAGAGTGTGCTGTCACTCCCAGATGGACAGGTGGATCCTGCACGTACTCAGAGTTGAAGCCTGGTACTGGCGTGCCAAGATGGCTGGCCCAGCCCTGAGCTCAGCCAGCTGGGAGCTGTGAGGGACTAAGAAGGCATTTCTGCATCATCCACGTGGCCCTAGGCAGTGTTGGGTCCATATGGCGACAGCAACTTGTGCTCTCAGGGAAGCAGGATTTGGCTGCAGCCTCTGGCAATGCCTCAGCAGCCTTCCTGGCAGCTCAGGGACTTGCTCTGGTTCCACTGGCTCACTATGACCCCGCCTGGTCATGTTCCCTGGACAGTGAAAGAGCCAGGAGCTGCCTGGTGTACCAAGGCCCTTCGGGCCTCCCATGCTGGTGGTGTGCTATGGTGCAGCCTCTTCCGTTGCCCACCTCCAGCCCCCACGCAATCTCAGGGCTGCTCCAGACCAGCACCATCCTGTAACTAAGCCTGGCAGTGGCTGAGCAGGTCAACTCTGTGCCAGCCCCTGAAGGAGGCGGATCAAGTTGTCCAGGCCCCAGAGGTAGCCGTCCTCGTGGTTGCCTTCAGCCCAGGGCAACCTGTGGGTGAGCGTGTGGTGGTCAGGGAGGGGCACTGTTTTGCCGAAGTCGATCATCCAGACCTTAGCCAGACCAGTGTGGTCATGCACAAAGAGGAGGGAACTGCCAACCACCTGCAGGGGAGAGGCGGGCAGTTAGCAGAGGAGCAGGCACCAGCTCCTAAGGTAGGTCCCCTACAGGGAGCAAGCAGCTCCAGGCTGCTGGAGTTCAAATCCCGCCTCTGCCACTTCCTCACTATAGAGATTTGAACAGGAGTTTTGACCTCTTTGTGGCTTTGCATCCTCATACGCCAAGAGAATAACAGTAATATTTACCCTAGAGTTGCTCTGAAGAAAGATAGATGGTACATAGATAGTTAACTCATATAAAGTATTTAAAAGTTGCTGGCACATTAAATTATATATATTTCATATATATATACACATATATACATATATATACATATATATATTTCATATATATATACATATATATATGTATGTTTCCTGTCATTTCCTATGACAGGTTTGTAAGCCCCCTCTATATATGTATTATCTTTTTGTTATGGTGCTAGGGGTTGAATCTGGGACCTCCTACAGTAGCACAAGCTCTAACACAGAACAACACTCCAGCCCCTGCTACCATTTTTTAAGACAGGGTACATACTCAAATGCCTTTAGGACCATGCATGGGTCAGAAAGTCTGGTAGGAACTAATGAATTAGGTAACACCCTCCCCAGAAAGGGGCAGCAGTTTCTCAGGCCTAGCGGACTGATGCTCATAAAGTGGGATTAGTAGCTTCCGCAGTTTCCTGTCTGTAGAATGGGGAGGTTGGCAGCAGTGCCTGCTTCTGGGACAGCAGCACCCGATGATCCATGCACTCGAATTGCCTCCCAGTGGGGGCACACAGTACCCCTCAGTAGATGCTTGTTTTATTGGGCTGTTTTTGTAATAGTCCTTGCCTTTCCTTCATCCTATGACAGGTTTGCAAGCCCCTTCCCTTTTTCAAAAACAAGTTTCAAGCCAGGCATGGTGGCTCACACCTGCAATCACAGCACTTGGGAGGCCAAGGCAGGATTGTCAAGAGTTCCAGGCCAGGGGCTGGGGAGGTAGCTTGGCAGTCTAAGCAACCTGCCTAATGAGAGCAAGGTCCTGATCCCCTGTACCACCGAAAGAAAACAAAACAAAAAAGGAGGAAGGGAAGGAAAAAAAGAAAGCATTTCAAACACTACTGAAATCCCAATGCCTGTGCTGCACACACGATTCAGCCCCTTGCAAACCTGTCATAGGATGAAGGAAAAGCAAGGGCTATTACAGGGCACACACAGAAGCCTAGTCAGAGGGACAGACACTGTGTGGCCGTGGATGCAGACAGCATCTAGTAAACAGCCCCACATTATCATGTTTCCCCAAATGGTAGGGGAAACTATAAATCTTGGCTTAAATGGAATCTCACATTTATCTATCTGTCTGTCTATCTATCTATCTATCTATCTATCTATCTATCTATCTAGTCTCACATTTTAAATAGTGGCAACTGTAACATTAAGTCACTGGGAGAAATACAGGATAGAGGAGATGGTTCCCCAGGCCTCTTTTATGACTTCCATATGAAGCCTGAAGGCAGTGACAATAACAAGGGTGATGTCTCATGAAGAACAAACATGACATTGACAGCTGGCCTGTACGGATGGCTTGTTATGGGGAGGGCTCCAATTCCTCATTTGGCCTGCACAGTACTTAAGCAGCAAGAACATCCACCACCCGGGCTACAGGCAGGGACACTGAGGCCTCGAGAATGGCTGCCCCCAGGCACAGCTGGGATTTGAGACTAGGTTGGCCTGATTCCCAGGTCAGTGCCATTGACATCAGAAAGAAGAAGAAAACTTGGGAGGCTGAGGCAGGAGCATCATTTGAGTTCGAGACCAGCCGGGGCTACAAAGTGAGCTCAAGGCCAACCTAAAATGCATAGTGAGACGCTGTCTCAAAAAGACAAAAAAAAAGAAAAGAAAAAAACAAGAGGAAAGGAGAACCTGTTGTGGGGGAATGTGTCCATAATCCCAGCATTGCAGAGGCTGAGACAAGAGGATCACAAGTTTAAGGCAAGCCTGGACTACATAGCAACACCCTGTTTCCAAAAAAAAAACAAAAGTGTTGGCAGGACAAACAGAATATCATGGAGAGGAAATGGCACACAGGGACACTGCCACCACCTCACACTCAGAGGCTTTGTTTCCCAAGAGAGGCTGGGAGTATGAGGACAGGGCAGGCAAGAGCCATCCACGGAGGTATATGACAGTACAAATAATCATGATCATAAAATAACTTTAGTAGGAAGGGGGGTTCACTACCTCTGTATGGGGCTGGGGGTGTAACTCAGTAGTGGAACCCTTGCCTATCACGTGTGAAGCTCTGAGTTCAACCTCCAGAACCACAAGACAGCGCAGAACAAACCAAATCAAGCCTTTACATGCACCAAGCGTTGCTCTACAGTGGCCCTCTCCCACCTCAGTAGCCCTGAGAAGAAGGTACTGTTTTTCCTGTCCGTGTCATAGAGGAGGAAACAGAGGCCCAAGAGGATTAGTCACATACCCAAGGTCACAACAAGACCGGCCCTCACCCCCACACCCCTGGCCTGAGGCCATGCTCCAGTCCATACCACCCCTGTTTTGGGGCCACAAAACACGGGCCTGCCTTTGAGAACTCCAACCTTTGAGTCCATGAGCAGTTTCCCGTGCCACTGGGACCGCCATGTCCCCTCCACACACCTGTGGTGGCCAGGGCTCGTACCTCATGGGTCTTGAAGAAGGGTGAGTCCTCCAGAGCATTGCGCAGTTCTTCCAAGCGTGCCACGTACCTCTTCTGGGGGATGGGGGAGGGGGGCTTCGATTAGCACAGAAACCTTGTGAGCTACCCTGAGATCCAACCTCTCCCGTACCCAAAGGCATGGGCAGAATGCAACCATGTGGTGTCAGGTGATCAGTGGGGAAATGGAGGGGCTGAAGGCACCAAAGCGGTGAGTAAGGCAGATACATGAGCACCCCAGTTCTACCATCAGCTTTTGCAGAGGGGCAGAGTGTATCTCCCCTTCCTTGCTCATTCGCCATGGTCTGCTTGGCCAACAGGATATGACCATTGTTGTTTGGGTTTTTGAGACAAGGTCATGCTATGTAGCTCAGGCTGGTCTCAAAGTCACAGCAGTCCTGCTGCCTTAGCCTCCCAAGTGCCGGGATTACAGGCACGCTCCACCTCTGCTGTTCTGTGAATCCAGATCTCCTTGCGTATTCTAGGCTGGCCTGGAACTTGCAGCTATCCTCCTGCCTCAGCCTCCCAAGTGCTACAATTACAAGTGTGTATGACCATGCCAGGAAGACATGGCACTTTTCCTGCTCTTAATTCTCTGTTTCATGGCAGGAAGCAGCCAGGCGAGCTGATGGGTCAGGAGAGACAGGTGGCCAAGTCCTGAGCCAACAGGCAAACACATGAGCCAGGCCCTAAGGCCAGCTGGCTGCAGGCTACCGGCTGTGTGAGCAAGGCCAGCCAGGCTCAGCTACACCCAGCTGAGGCGAACAGCCACTGACTGAAAAGCTACAATAAATGCAAGTTGTCTGGTTTTTGAGTACCAGGAATCAAACTCAAGACCTTGCACTCGCCAGGCAGGCACTATGCCGCTGAGCTATATCCCTGGCCCAGTGGTAGTTGTCCTTAATAGCTATATCTGGGACATGGGAATTCCACTCACCAGGATTCCCTGATCCCCGTCCACAAAGTCCTCCAACACCTTTGTCACCTGCTCCAGTGCCTGTGTCTTCTTGAAGTTGGTGTTGCATGTGCCATCAGCTTTCTACAGGGCAAGGAGTGAAAAGGCACTGTGACCCCTCTTCCTTCCCAGCACCCTCAGGCACCTGCCGGGACCACCTGCCAGCCAGCGTGTGCTTGCCTGCTGTTCCGGGGACCCAGCCCTGCCAGGCCACAAGGCATGCTCCAGGACAGCCTGTCCTTCCAAGGCTAACCTTGGACATCTCAACGGAGCCAGTCTGGCAGTGCAAGGTTTTCAGGGCAGTGATTGGCTTTCATTTGGGATCCTGTTCCTTTCCAGATGGCTGCTCTGAACAAGTCGCTTTACCTGCCTCAGCCTCAGCCTCCTCACCTGGAAGGTGCAAATTGTGCTGTGCTCCACTTCCTGAAGCTGGTGTAGGAAGAGAGGGGCCTGCATGTGTAGGAGGCCGGCCATGTGCTGGGCCTGGCATGCAGGGAGTCAATGAGGCAAGGGTTACTCTGCACATTTGAGAGGGACACAGAGAAGCCACTGTAGGGCACGCTCGGCCATACGGTGTCAGATCCAAGGGGGCATAGCTAACAGGGAGGTGAGAGGGCAGACAGTGAACAACAAGGGATGAAGGGAGACAGGAATAAAGAAGATGTACAAGGGCCAACCAAATAGCTCAGCAGATTAAAGTGCCTGCAAGCAGGCACAGGGGCCCAGGATTTGATCCCTGGGCCTGCAGTGCTGGCCCCGCCCCCAGGGTGTGCTGAGACAGCAACTGAGACTGGGCATGGTGGCGTATGCCTCTAATCCCAGCTCCTGGGAGGCTGTAAACAGGAGAATCACTAGGAGTCCGATCTAGTAGAGAGACCCTGAACACCCTGTAGACCCTTCCCTAAAATATATAAAAAAAAAAGATGTACAGTGAATAAAGAGGAGGGGGTGGGGCTGGTGAGATGGCTCAGTGGTCTAAAGCACCTACTTAGAACAAGCTTAGTAAAGCAAGTGGACCACTGCTCAATCCCCCAGCACCACATGCCAGCCAGGCCCGCCCCCTGGTGGGCTGAGCTGGCCACACACACACACACACACACACACACACACAAATAAATAAA